AATGAGTAATGAGGCTGCAAACACACACACACACACACACACACACACAGGCATAAAGTCAATAATGCGTGTCTTGCTGTACATCTGGGCAGCTGCTCAGCATAAACATTTAGTCATAGAGTTTGGGTGTTTATCTTTTGAGTATTCAAGTCCCATAGGCTTTTGTTTGTAAGTTTGTAGTTTGCTCCTTGTTTGCAGATGCTGTAGTAAACTTGAGTTCAAGTTTTCACAGCAGAAAAAGTTTCAAATGAATAATTTCAAACCACTGCTGCTGCATAATCCACTTCTACTCTCTTAATCAGTATGCTCAGGAGAGTCCAAAAAAACTAGTAGATTTTCCATTAGTAAGAAGACCTGTTCTGTCCTAGCGCTCCCATTGGCTGGCAGCCCTCGTGCATAACCTTTGGAGACCAACAAATGAGTGCTCCACCATTCTGAGTAGACAAAAGTTCATGTAACTGGACAACTCGAGACGGTTGTATGATTGTAGAGATGAAGTGCATTGGCTGACAACAATATATCCACTCTGTTTAAGTTTAATTACCTTTAATGGCGGGCTTTAGCTGACAAGAGGCCCGAGCATTTTCTTGGTATTATTAAGCACCAAGTAGGATACATCAGAGCTTTCCAGTCATAAGTACGACTTGAATGTTGACACTATTTACAATCATTTATTTGGGGGGGGGGGCATTTTATGGCTTTATTATGCGGCAGTACACAGATTACAAGAAATGAGAGAGATATGTGCAGCAAAGTTCAGTACAGTGGGTACGGAAAGTATTCAGACCCCTTTAAATTTTTCACTCTTTGTTTCATTGCAGCCAGTTTCCAAAAATCAAAAAAGTTCATTTTATTTCTCAGTAATGTACACTCAGCACCCCATCTTTACAGAAAAAAACAGAAATGTAGAAATTTTTGCAAATATATTAAAAAAGAAAAACTGAAATATCACATGGTCATAAGTATTCAGACCCTTTGCCGTGACACTCATATTTAACTCAGGTGCTGTCTGTTTCTTCTGATCATCCTTGAGATGGTTCTACACCTTCATTTGAGTCCAGCAGTGTTTGATTATACTGATTGGACTTGATTAGGAAAGCCACACACCTGTCTATATAAGACCTTACACCTCACAGTGCATGTCAGAGCAAATGAGAATCATGAGGTCAAAGGAACTGCCTGAAGAGCTCAGAGACAGAATTGTGGCAAGGCACAGATCTGGCCAAGGTTACAAAAAAATTTCTGCTGCACTTAAGGTTCCTAAGAGCACAGTGGCCTCCATAATCCTCAAATGGAAGACGTTTGGGACGACCAGAACCCTTCCTAGAGCTGGCCGTCCGGCCAAACTGAGCTATCGGGGGAGAAGAGCCTTGGTGAGAGAGGTAAAGAAGAACCCAAAGGTCACTGTGGCTGAGCTCCAGAGATGCAGTCGGGAGATGGGAGAAAGTTGTAGTAAGTCAACCATCACTGCAGCAATCCACCAGTTGGGGCTTTATGGCAGAGTGGCCCGACGGAAGCCTCTCCTCAGTGCAAGACACATGAAAGCCCGCATGGAGTTTGCTAAAAAACACCTGAAGGACTCCAAGATGGTGATAAATAAGATCCTCTGGTCTGATGAGACCAAGATAGAACTTTTTGGCCTTAATTCTAAGCGGTATGTGTGGAGAAAACCAGGCACTGCTCATCACCTGTCCAATACAGTCTCAACAGTGAAGCATGGTGGTGGCAGCATCATGCTGTGGGGGTGTTTTTCAGCTGCAGGGACAGGACGACTGGTTGCAATCGAGGGAAAGATGAATGCGGCCAAGTACAGGGATATCCTGGACGAAAACCTTTTCCAGAGTGCTCTGGACCTCAGACTGGGCTGAAGGTTTACCTTCCAACAAGACAATGACCCTAAGCACACCGCTAAAATAACGAAGGAGTGGCCTCACAACAACTCCGTGGCTGTTCTTGAATGGCCCAGCCAGAGCCCTGACTTAAACCCAATTGAGCATCTCTGGAGAGACCTGAAAATGGCTGTCCACCAACGTTTACCATCCAACCTGACAGAACTGGAGAGAAACTTGTTGCATCTTTCCCAAAACGACTCATGGCTGTATTAGATCAAAAGGGTGCTTCTACTAAATACATGTGATATTTCAGTTTTTCTTTTTTAATAAATTTGCAAAAATTTCTACATTTCTGTTTTTTTTTCTGTCAAGATGGGGTGCTGAGTGTACATTACTGAGAAATAAAATGAACTTTTTTGATTTTTGGAAAATGGCTGCAATGAAACAAAGAGTGAAAAATTTAAAGGGGTCTGAATACTTTCCGTACCCACTGTACTTGAACCTGGGATATTGCCGTTCATTGTCGGTGTCTCTCAACTCCTGAGGCATTTTCCTCGTCCATTTTCCTGCACTGCTGCTAAAAACTCAAGGGGCCGCATTGGTGGGGCTGTGCTGGTGATCCAGTTTCTAAGTCTGCTCTAAATATTGTTGGTTTTTACATTTTTGTTGGCTGAAATAATTGGTTATGGTTAAAATAATTAGGTAAAAGTAATGGATAAACAGAACGTTAAGCTTCACTAAAAGTGGTGGGAGTATGGTTGCTGACCACACCACTTCAATTGTATAAACTGTAAAAACTTTTATAATCAATAGTGTGATACATTTCTTACATGATAGGTGGGATCGATGAAGGGGTACGTGAGTTGTGGGGTAGCTTAAACTAAAAGGTTGGGAATTATCCTGTCCAGTTTGAGAACAACAGTAGAAACCAAACAAAAGCAGTTCTTTTGCTGTGCTCGCAGCCTTCTCCGAGTTTGTTGCTCTACAAATAATGCTCTTATATATGTATTTGTGAAAAATCTATGAGAAACTGAAGTTTATAGATCTTGTTTTGGCTTTTTGATAAAAATTAGACAACTCTGAGGGCAGATAAAATAGAGTTGACATTGAATTTGATCACTGAGACAAATTTCTTATCTTGTGGAGGCTCATCTATAAGTCTTATAGAACTTAATCAGTGCAGTGAGAGAGAAAAACTACTGAAATAGTAGTAAGTATGAAAAAATGGTTAAAATCTCACATTGATGTTAAATTCAGCTCAGTTGTGTCAAGGAGAAATAGGCTGGACAAAGAAGAAATCTTCCTCTGAGACCCTTTACAGTTTTTTCCAACTGTTTACACATGTTTTCAAAACTATGTCTCATTTTTTAAAAACTTTCCCCAAACTGCTCACAAAAAATGCAAAATGCCTCAAATGTCCTTCAAAATGAAACACTGCATTCAAAGTGCCATAAACACATCCTAAAATGAGGCATTGGCATCATATGGCAAATCTAAATCTAAAGCTATTTTGTTTGCAATTCCATACAATGATCTAGAGTGAAAGTAATCTGCTAAGAGGTGCTGAAAAGTACACTGTAAATATCAATATCAATGGAACTGATAAATGTATTTGGCAAAACATTACTGTTGTAACAGTAGTACAGTATTGTATACAGTAGCATAAAAAACCTAGACATATGTAAACCCCCCCAAAAAGTGGCCACAATACTTCATCCACATTACAAGCATCCTCAATGTCCCCACATGCTTCCTCCATTGCCTGGAGAAGAAGCATGTGGGCATAGGGTGGCGACTTTCCAGCGCCAGGCTGAGAAATTCCTCTATGGGATTTAGAAACGGTGAATTTGGGTAGGTACACAACTAAAACTGTGGATGGGTGGCAAACCAGTTTTGGACCAGAACAGCCCAGTGAAAACTGACATTGTCTCATATAACAAAAAATCTAGCAGGGTCCGGATTTGGATCTGTAAGAAGCATGGTGTGAATTGCATCCAGAAAAGTAAGCATATGGGCGGTGTTGTAAGGACCCAGTCTAGCATGGTGATGGAGGACACCGTTCTGAGTGATGGCAGCACACATAGTTATATTTCCCCCACATTGTCCAGGGACATTGATAATTGCCCTCTGTCCTATTACATTTCTTCCCCTGTGTCTGGATTTGGTATGGTTGAAGCAGACTTCATCCACATAAATATATTCTTGGCGAATTGCACTGGCATCCATCTCCAATACTCTCTGTAACAGACAAAAGAATATACAGATCAGTAAACATGGTATGTGTCTGAAGGACTGGAAGTAGTGTTGCATACATACGTCCTAAAAGTCACGTCACAGATTCTTGACTCTGTTAGAGTTTCTCTCAAATGGCACCTTGTACAGTTGTTTCATTGTCACTTGATGCCTTTGGAGGATGCGTTGTATGGTTGACAGGCCTACAGCATGGATGTTGTTTGATATGGTTTCATTATTCAAGATATGATCTCTTATATCTCGAATCCGAATTTCATTGTTGGCCAAAGCCAAATTTATAATTGCTGTTTCTTGTACATCTGTAAACATGCGTCCTCGTCCTCCATGATTTCTTTGCCTTTCCACACTCTAGACAATTCATAACTGTATAACTGCGCAGTATATTTACTGTAAAACATGTACAAAATATTGTTACAGCATGATAACCAGCCTTACTGTAATTATTCAATGCAGTGCATAAATGGATGGCTTAGAGCTGCAAATGTCTTTGCAGTACTATGTATTTTCCAGTACAATGTTGATGTAATGCTGAAGTAATCATTAAATAGATGCATGCCTCTTCTCATTTCTGAAGGTTTGAATTATGGACGGCACTTCCAATTGCTAACACGTAATTTTGCAAAATAGTTTGGTTTTATCAAAATACTTAACACAATTCACAAAACCACACACCCAAACTGCAAAATACCTCATATATCCTGTAAAATGAAGCATTAAACTACACATAGCATTATCAAAATAAAACTTTTGCATGAAATGGCACACACTTCATTCATATTACCAGATTTTTGCCTAACCAGCTACACACTGTTGGGCATAATGAAAAGCACTCCCATCTTTAGTATGCTTTGCCATAATATTAAAATATGTATCAGATTGGTCACATGCACAGAAATATTTGCAGATACACACACATGCTGTTGAAACTTTATTTTATTTTTCACTACAGTAAACAAGTCAGTGCAGCATATGCACAGCAGATATATTTACATGGGACTGAACAAAAATATTCTTACAAAAAAAAAGAAAAAAAAAGAGGCAAGAAAAATAATTAGGCAGCATCTTGCCGCACAGCCTGGTCTGGCCACAGCGCCTCGTCAACCTCACAGGCAATATCTTCCCTTGCCAGACATCGAGGGAAGAAGCGCCTTGAGTGCCTTAACCATCCCTGATTTGCACCCACATCAATCTCATCACATGCCTCTTCCATGGCCTGCACAAGAGGCATGCGCACAAAGGGCTGCCGGTTGTATACCTTCTACCGCCATGCCCAAAAGAACTCTTCTATGGGGTTCAGAAATGGTGAGTATGGTGGGAGGTATAACACGAGAAATGTTGGGTGGTCAGCAAACCAGTTTTGGACTGGGGCTGCACGATGAAAGCTCACGTTGTCCCATACTACAACGTACCGGTTTCTTTGATGGTCTGCATCATTCATACGCTCTGGTGGTATGAGAATGTTGTGAAGTCTGTCCAGAAATGTGAGAATATGGGCTGTGTTGTATGGTCCAAGGTTGGCATGACGGTGGAGGACACCATGCATACTGGAGGTGGCAGCTCACATTGTGATGTTCCCACCGCGTTGGCCAGGAACATCTGTAAAGGCTCTGTGGCCAATGACGTTTCTCCCCCTTCTTCTGGTCTTTGCTAGGTTGAACCCAGCCTCATCTATAAAGATGAACTCATGTGGGATTGCATGAGCATCCATTTCCAGTACTCCCTGAAAACAAAGAACAAAATTCAGTCAATATGGTGTTATCCAGTACACTGGGAAACAATGTTGCGTGTAGTGTACTGCAGTCAATATAGTACTTACATCCACATATGCTCGTCTGACCTCTTTGTTTCTTTGAGAGTTTCTCTCTCTGCTCTGATTTCATTTGAAAGTGTTTGCCTTCTCTGGCCATGAACTCCTCTACCTGCTCTACCCCTACCTCTCACTCTTCCTCCCCCTCTTATTCTCAACCTCCCTCTTCCTCTTCCTCTCTCTGCACCGTCTTCCATTGTTGTTGCAAAATAAAAGGTGCTCACCTGTGGTCTTTTCATAGTGCTTACATCCTGATTGAAGTGTTAACAATTAACCATTGAGATGTTTGGCCAGGTGGCACATGTAATTGGCCAATTAGCTCATGTAGTATCATTTTGAATGGTAGTGTTTTGAAATGGCAAACGTGACTTTATGTCAGATTGTTGTGTCTTATGCAGAGAACTGTGTTCAGTGCATTTAAAAAGTGGCATTTTGAAATGCAAAATGTGTGTAAAGCAGAAAATGTGTTTAGACCTTTGGAGACTTGCTCTCTGTGTGTCCGTTTAAATAATTGTGCTGTGCATGTCATTTTAGTGTGTTAGCAATTGGAAAAAACTTGGGAGCAAGATGGCGCCTGTAACTGGCAGAGCCGCGGCTCGTTTCCTGCTGTGTAAATTATTAATGCTCTGTTTCTCAGTGTACGTGATCATCTCAGCCTGCATAACAGATGGATGTGTTCTGGCTGTATGGACTTATGACCGGGACTCTTTGTTTCACATCAGAGAGTCGATGGAGGTCCTGTTTGATAATTACGACAGGTTCAAACAGGCATTTCCTCCTCCATTTGCTATCGATCCTGACTCTCCTGACTACTTGCTACTATACCGGGCTCCGGGTAGGGTCCGTAGGAGATTCAGGAAAAGAGGCTTGCGGTCCGGTGTCCAGGTCAGGCGTAGGCGTGCCGCAGCGCGCGGTGGCTTTGTTGTCTTCGGCCGCCGGGACCGCATTCAGTGCCTGCGGCGGATTCCTCTTCACGATGTGTGCGGCAGCGTAGCTTCGCCGCCGCCTGTTCGGATTTCAACGGGTGTCCTGGATCCTTCACAGCGCTGGAGTGGTGGTCCGAGACTTTCGCCGCAAATGTTTACTTCCGTGTTTGTGCCGGCTCTTTCTAAATGGACCGGCAAAAGACCATGTGACCGCTGGTCGTGCCTGCAACCAATCCCGTTGCAAAGCAGGGACACTGCCTCCGTGACGTTCTCCAAAATGCATTTCGGCCTGTTGAATGCTCGTTCTATTGCGAATAAATCGCATTCATTAAACGATCTTTTCACAAGGGAAGGCCTGGATATTATGTGTTTGTCAGAGACATGGCAGAGAGAGGACGAGCTTATTCATTTAAATGAGCTCTGCCCAGTGGGTTGCTCTGCTATTGGGAGGCCCCGTCCCTCTCGTCGCGGTGGTGGACTGGCTATTGTGCACAAGGATTTCCACAAATGAAATGAAATTTTGCCCCAAAAATTTTCTTCTTTTGAATTGCAGATGGTAAAGGTGGGTTTTTTATCCCCCTTCTACTGTATTCTGGTCTATCGACCTCCAGGCCCTGCTGCTGTCTTTCTAAAGGATTTTAGTGAATTCTTATCCTCTATAATTAAGCTGGAATCTGTCTTAATCCTTGGGGATTTTAATCTTCATGTAGATGACAACTCATCTTGCCCCGCAATGGAATTTTTAACATTGACTGAAACTTTTAATTTTAATCAGCATGTATCTGAGCCCACTCACCAAAAAGGCCATATTTTAGACTTGGTTTTTACACTTGGCCTAGATATATTAAACGTATCTGTAAATGATGTCTATATGAGCGACCATAATATTGTTCTGTTTGATCTTCACTTCAGTTCTGACCCAAAGCTTCCAGTAGTTAGGTCTCAGAGACGTGTTATCACGGCAAATACTGCAGATACTTTCTCTGATTTGTTTGATCCTGCTCTAGTTATGGATTGCCCTGATGTGGATGATTTTGTTCACTGTTTAAACAATCACTGTGAAAAGATTCTGGATCAGGTGGCCCCTGTTAATTCAAACTTGCCTACTCGGGAAAAAATGTGGCCTTGGATTAATGAAGAGATTTTAAAACTTAAGAGAATGTGTCGAAAGACTGAACGCCTGTGGAAATCCACTAGCCTTGAGGTACACAGGCTTTATCTCAGAGAACTTGTGTTGTCCTATAATGTGACGGTTGGAAAAGCCAGATCTGACTATTTCCGTCAACTAATAACATTAAATAAAAAAAATCCTAAAGTGCTGTTTGATACGATCAATACACTTGTTTGCCCTGCTGCCCCAGTTATCCCTGTTTTTTGTGAAGCTGACAGCAATGCTTTTTTGGGTTTTTTCACTAATAAAATTAAAATGATTAAAGATAAAATCCCGTTACATTCGTGTGGTACCACTGCTGTCTTTAAGCCAGTCTCCAGCATGTGGTCCACTTTTAGGACTGTGACGATTTCAGATATTTCTGAATTGGTGACCAGGATGAAGCCATCTTCCTGTTCATCGGATGTCATTCCATTCAGATTATTCAAAAAAGTGTTTGAAGATATTGGCGCTTGTGTAACCAAAATGGTTAACCTCTCGCTGTCTACTGGCGTTTTTCCAGATGCTTTTAAGCATGCTATAGTGGAACCGTTAATAAAAAAGGCAGGTTTGGACCCGTCGGATTTGAATAGTTTTCGGCCTATTTCTAAGCTCCCGTTTTTATCCAAGATCATTGAGAAGGTAGTCTGCGAACAGTTGACATTTTACCTGGATAATAGTAACATCCATGAGCCATTCCAGTCAGGTTTTCGTAAACAACACTCTACCGAAACGGCCTTACTGAAAGTGTCAAATGACATTATGATGTCTGCTGATTCTGGAAAACACACTGTTCTAGTTCTCTTGGATCTGTCTTCCGCCTTTGACACCGTCGACCATCAGGTTTTGCTGGAAAGATTAAGGGATCAAGTAGGGCTGTCAGGGTCAGTTCTGCAGTGGTTCACCTCATATTTATCTGGGCGTAGTTTTAGTGTTACAGCAAACCAAATAAGGTCTGAGTCTGCAGACTTGCTTTGTGGAGTGCCTCAAGGCTCTGTTCTGGGCCCCGTTTTATTTTTGTTGTATTTGATCCCTTTGGGAAAGATCATACAAAGGTTCAATGATGTTTCTTTTCATCTATTTGCTGATGATATCCAACTTTACTGCTGCTTCAAGCCGTCAGAGATTTGGAAGTTAAACTCCTTGCTCCATTGTCTTGTGGAAATTAAAAAATGGCTAAGTGAAAACTCCCTGCAGCTAAATGCAGACAAAACAGAAACATTAATCATTGCCCCTGAGGATGCAATTCCAGGAATTAAACAATACTTGGGTGATTTAGGCCAGTCTGCTAAGCAAAGTCTTAGAAATTTGGGAGTTGTCCTGGACAAAGACATGTCGTTAGTGCAGCACTGCAAGCAGCTGACGAGAAACTGCTTCTTTCAATTAAGGAAAATCTCAAAACTTAGAAATATAGTTTCAAGAAATGATTTGGAGCTAATCATTCACGCCTTTGTGTCGTCGCGGTTAGACTATTGTAATAGTTTATTTTTATGCCTAAACCAGAAGGAGCTCTCTCGACTGCAATTAGTACAAAACTCTGCAGCCAGAATTTTAACACGTACTAATAGGAGGTCTCACATATCACCAATCCTAAAAGAACTTCATTGGCTACCAGTGTCTTATAGGATAAATTTTAAAATTTTGGTTTTAGTTTTCAGAGCTTTACATGGCCAGGCTCCACCCTATATTAGTGACCTGATTCAGCGTTATACCCCTGTGCGTGCTCTGAGGTCTGTGGATCAGAACCTGCTGACGGTTCCACGCACTCGCTACCGTACTAGAGGTGACCGATCTTTTCAGGCTGTTGCCCCTAGGTTGTGGAATGACCTTCCACCATCTATGCGCTCTTCTGATTCTGTTGATGCCTTCAAATGCAGACTAAAGACACATTTATTTGTTCAGGCTTTCAATTAGCTACTTGTGGGTTGATATGATCATGTACTGTCTATGCTTTTATTGTGTGTATTTTATGATATTAATGTTTTTGTTGTGAAGCACTTTGTGGCCCTATACCTGTGAAAGGTGCTATAGAAATAAACTTTTACTTACTTACTTACTTACTTAAAGCGACTCAAGCTGGGCTGGACTCTCAGCCCAGCTTCTCTCATTGCCAACCCGTGGTTGATCACATGATCAATTAGTGTGGCCCTGATCTCATCAGAGACCACTCTCCTTCCTTCTCTTCTTTGCCCTCATCCTCTTCCAACTCGTCCTCCTCCTCTTCCTCCCCCTCTTCTTCCAACTCTTCCTCCTTGTTGTCGTCCCCTGCCTCTCCCTCCTCCTCCCCTTGCTCTCTGTCCAATGATGGAATCCAATGTTCAAAACAGGTGATCTGACCTTTGACCTATCTATAGGCCTATACTAAAGCAGTGATTGGTTAGTGATCAGTTAAGCAGTTAGTGTTTGCACATGTGAGGAGTGGCTGTGTGACCTGGTGAATAAGTGTAACATTTTTATTGGCTGTGTTTGGAAAAGGAACGCAAGTCACTTCCTGTTAGATTTTTGTGTCTTAGGTAGAGAATTGTGTGTAGTGTTTTGAAAAAATGTGTTTTATGCAATTGAAATCTGAGTGAAAGGCTGAGAAATAGCTTACGGTTTGGGAGATTTGAGATGAGGTTTTGCTTTTTGAGTGAGAGGTTTCAAAAATCCTGTGACATGTACAGATTTTGTGTGTAAGCAAAAAACTCATGTTATGTTATATGTTACATATAAACTGGGCCTGGACTTTTTCACCATGAATATAATCTGTCACAACAGGGCAACTTTATGCACGTACTATATGTGCTTGTGTGTGTGTTTTTAAGTTAGTCTGTCTAGGATGCAGTTATAAACAGTCAGGAGTGAACCAGCCATGGCCTTATCACTCACAGAGACTCAGATTATGTAATCAAACAAATTAAATGTAGACTGATTATCAGCTTCAGACATCCAAACTAACAGCCCATTCTGTCGTGATTGAATGTCAGGAACACAGCGTTCACAAAAGTATAATTTTAATCATCAATTCAAATGAGAAGTTGTAGTGAATGTTACAAATTGGAGTAGCAGACCAAACACGTCTCAGCTCAAAGTGATTATATAATGTTCTGTATTTTAATTCATTTTAAACCAATTAACACAAGCATTTGCACAGGACTTTTGGAAGCCACCGAAGAAACGTGTTCCCAAAATAATCTAATTCATCTCACAGCAGACAAAAAGAATTCATGTAATCTTAATCCTTAGTGTTACAGATACTCCTAAAAGACAGTCGGCTGTGTTCATATTTTTGGTGTAGTTTGCTCAGAATTGCTCCATATGTGTGTCCTGACAGGTTTATTTTGGCAGAAAATGATTTGTAACCCATCCTTGGACCCCTTTCCGCCTGAGAGATCCAGTTAATGAAGTGGGGATGTTGGGAGCAGGATAATTGTATGGCATCAGCATGGCAATGAATGTTTTTAGTGTTAGCGATACTAGCCACTAATGATAGCCTGCATTTTTATTATACTGAAGACACACTTCGCAGCTGGATGCTTTTAGCCTGTTGAATATTATCAGGTTATCACATTTAATGCGTGCCGTCTCCGTTGTTGTTGTTTTTTTACCTCAACCTGCTTTTCTCCTGCTCTCTGCTACAGTTTATACATGCACATGGAGACAGCAGTGGTAAAAACAAGCAATAGTTTGTCAAATGTCATCAACAATTTCCCACTTAACTACAGGAGAAATAAAGGAAAAGTACAATAAACATAGGAATACTCACTTTTTATGATAATATTGTCCTAAAGCTAATTAATTTCTAAATGCAGTAAGCGGAGTGACACTTTAAGGATACTCTTGAGACATCAGAATCATAAAGAAGCACAGACTTCATGCTGGTGTTCACTGTAAATTATTTTAAGTGTCTTTCACTTTAGTGCATGGCCTGGACTATTAATTTTACCACTGTGAATACAACAAATGTAGATAAACATTGATCTGTACAATGAGGATGAGTCAGAAAAGATAAATGAGCTCATTTCCAGCCTCCATTTGTTGCCAGAAA